AAGTAGAACGTCTATCAGAAGGTGATCCTGCCCAATCAGCATCTGAGTATCCAACGATTTGCTCATGGCCTCGATCCTCAAACAATAAACCTTTGCCTGGAGCTGAATTTATATACCGAAGAATGCGAACAACTGCATCCCAATGACTATCACACGGAGAATCCATAGACTGACTCACAACACTCACAGGAAAGGAAATGTCAGGTCTTGTCACTGTAAGGTAATTTAATTTACCAACCAACCGCCTATATCTTGCAGAATCGCTAAGAGGCTCCCCCTGTCTTGGTAGAAGTTTAGAATTCGGATCCATCGGAGTGTCAACAGGTCTACAACCTGTCATTCCTGTCTCCTCAAGAATATCTAAGGCATACTTTCATTGTGAGATCACAATACCTGAGCTAGATTGAGCGACCTCAATGAAAATACTTTAGTTTGCCCAGATCCTTAGTCTGAAAGTGTTGAAAGAGATGTTGCTTCAATTTAGTAATACCATCCTGGTCATTGCCGGTAATAACAATGTCGTCAACATAGACCACCAGATACTCGAAGCAGAATGCCGATAGAATACAGAGTGATCAACTTCACTCTGAATCATGCCAAATTCCTGGATAACTGTGCTGAACTTACCAAACCAGGCTTGAGGAGACTGCTTTAGACCATAAAGTGACCGGCGCAAGCGACATACAAGGCCGCGAGACTCTCCCTGAGTAACAAACCCAGGTGGTTGCTCCATATAAACTTCATCCTCAAGGTCACAGTGTAAAAAAACATTTTTAATGTCCAGCTGATAGAGGGGCCAATGGCGAACAACAGCCATGGATAAAAAAAGGCGGACTGATGCTATCTTAGCCACGGGAGAGAAGGTATCACTGTAATCGAGCCCAAATATCTGAGTGTATCCCTTGGCAACAAGACAAGCCTTAAGACGATCAACCTTACCATCCAGACCAACCTTGACTGCATACACCCAACGACAACCAACAGTAGATTTACCTGAAGGAAGAGGGACGAGCTACCAAGTACCACTCGTATGTAAAGCAGACATCTCGTCAATCATAGCCTGTCGCCATCCTAGACGAGACAATGCTTCACCTGTAGACTTGGGATGGAAACAGAGGACAAAGAAGATAGAAAAGCATAATAGAGTGATGACAAACAATGATAACTTAAACCAACATAATGGGGATTAGGATTAAGGGTGGTTCGTATACCTTTCCGAAGTGCAATCGATTTACTAGGAAGAGACAAGTCCGCAGTAGGAGCAGGGTCAGGTGCAGGACGTGAATCAGCTGCGCCTGCTGGGTGCGGACGACGATGATATGTCAAGAGTGGTGTTCCTGTGGCAGAGAGTCTAGGAGGAGCCACGCTAGACTCTCCAACGGTAGGAATGGGTAAGACTTTTGTAGCGGAAGGTGAAGGAGAAACTATAGTAGACTCGGGTAAGACTTCTGTGGCGGAAGGTGAAGGAGGAGCTATAGTAGACTCCTTAAAAGTCGGTATAGGTAAGACCTCAGATATATCAAGGTGGTCAGAATGGTCAGAAGAGGTAAAGAAAGGTTTAGACTCAAAAAATGTGACGTCAGAGGACATAAAGTACCTACGAAGATCAGGTGAGTAACAACGATATCCCTTCTGAACACGAGAATAACGAAGGAAGACACACTTGAGAGCACGAGGAGCTAACTTATCTTTTCCATGGGCTAAGTTATGAATGAAACAAGTGCTCCCAAAAGCACGAGGGGGAACAGAGTATAAGGGTGATTGGGGAAACAATACTGTATACGGAATCTGATTCTGGATGGGAGATGAAGGCATCCGATTAACCAAATAACAAGCTGTGAGAACTGCATCGCCCCAAAAACGCAACGGAACATGAGATCCAATGAGAAGTGTGCGAGTAGTCTCAATGATGTGCCTATTCTTTCTCTTTGCAACCCTATTTTGCTGAGGGGTATAAGGACAAGAGGTCTGATGAATAATTCTTTGAGAAGTCATAAACTGCTGAAATTGAGAGGATAAATATTCTAAGGCATTATCACTACGAAAAGTGCGAATGGAAACACCAAATTGATTCTTAATTTCAGCACAAAAATTCTGGAATATAGAAAACAACTCCGAACGATCTTTCATTAAGAAAATCCAAGTACATCTTGAATGATCATCAATGAAACTAACAAAATAACGAAATCCCAAGGTTTAATTGACTCTACTAGGACCCCATATATCAGAATGAACTAAAGAAAAAACAGACTCTGCATGACTCTCAATACTATGAGGAAAGGAGGCTCGGGTATGTTTCTCGAGCTGACATGACTCATATTCTAATATAGATAAACTAGACAAACTAGGCACCATCTTCTGAAGCTTGGATAAACTTAGATGTCCTAAACGGCTGTGAATTAGGCCCGGAGGATCTGTAACTAGACATGCTTTGGAGGAATTGAGTGAGTTAAGGTGGTAAATGCCTTCTGATTCAAGTCCTGTTCCAATCGTCTGTCCCGTACTGCGGTCCTGCATAATAAAAGAATCATCAATAAAATATATACCACAATGGAGGGCATGAGTCAAACGACTAACAGATGCAAGATTAAAAGGACAGCCAGGGACATAAAGACCGGAATCTAGAGTGACAGAGGGTAGGGGATTCGCTTGTCCAACACCTTTTGCTTTAGTTTGAGACCCATTGGCTAAAGTAACAGTGGGAAGAGACTGTGAATACACAATATTTGACAAAAAAATGATTTATTATCAGAGATATGATCAGAAGCGGCTGAGTCCACAACCCATTGTCCAAGAGTACTAGACTGAGAAACACAAGCAAAAGAATTACCAGCAACAGAAGTATTAGTCTGAGCAACAGAGGCTACTTGTGGAGATGTCTGCTTACTTGCTCGATATTGAAGGAACTCATTATACTCTCCTTCAGATAAAGAAAATCCCTGTTTACCTGTAGTTTCGGTCTGAGCAACATAAGCATTTTTGGGTGGGTAACCATGTAAAGAATAGCAAACGTCACGAGTGTGTCCAAGTTTATGACAATAATAGCACTTGGGTCTAGATCTTCCAAAACGACCTCCTCCTCGTCTATTCTCCATAGTTTGAGATGCCCAATTGTCCACTGACTAGGATACGAGGATAGATGAGTCAAGTGTCTGTGATGAGCTCACTGGGTAACTTGGTGCTGCAGCAAGGCGAAGTAATCGAGAGAATAATTCATCAACTGTGGGGACAGTCGGACTAGCCAAAATCTGGTCATGTACTGAATCAAGGTCATTAGGGGGTCCAGCGAGTGTAAGAACTAGAAACATCTTCTGTCGTTGCTCTTGTTGCTTTTCAATACTAGCAGAAACTGGCATCAACGTCTCAAATTCTTCCATTACTGCCTGTACTTGTCCCAAGTAAGTAGACATATCCAATTCCTGTTTCTTCAAGCTTGACATTTGCGATACTACATCATAGAAATGAGATATATCATTAGTGTATAAATTACGAGCCTTTTCCCAAACTAAATAACATGTCTGGAATGGACAGAACAAGGGCATCAATTTGGAATCAATAGATCGCCACAGGATACTACATAACTGAGCATCGACCTTCTTCCAAAGTGTTTTGGCCTTTTCATCACCTTCGCTAGTTTTGTTAAATGATCTTGAACTCCTTGACCTTTACACCACAACTCGACAGACGAAGCCCAAGCTAAGTAGTTTGAACCTCCCATTAAAGATTCTGAGGTAATCATAACACTGGAACTGCCAGAACCTGGATTTTTAAACCCGAAAGCATCGACTCCCAAAGACATGTCGGATTATCACCAAATAATAGAAAGAATTAACTGACAACTCGCTGAAACAGATGAAGGAAAAACTGTTTTTGCCGGAAAATTACTGTAGCTGCCGGAAAAAGCCAGTGTAGTCACCGAAAAACTCAAAGTGGTCGGAATCAAACGAAAAAGGTATGGATAGACTCGGAATTACTAGGCGATCCGACTGTCCAACTGGAAGATTTTCAAAAAATGGCCGGAACAGTGTTCACGCGCCGGCGCGTGGGGCGCGTATGTCGGATCTCGCCGGGAAGTTCTGGCGCGTGTAAGGGAGTTTTCCGGTGGGGTTTACTGGGGTTTGGTCGCCGGAGCCTGAGGAGTCTTGTGGTGGTGTTGGTTTTTTTTGCATGCACCAACAGAAATTGAGGTGATTACGGGCAGCCTTCTAAGTCGCCGGAAAATTGCACGGCGACGAGGTCTTTCTTCCCGGAAGTCGCTGGAATGATGCACAACGATAGGTTTCTCACTAAAGCTCTGAAACCATGTGAGAATACACGGGAGAAAATATGATTGATATTATTCACATATGTTAAACATGATACAATGAGCCCTATATATACATAACATATCCTACTCCTAATACATATGGGATTAGGGTTACATAACTATTCTAACACGTACCATAGGAAGTAAGGTTTTAGTTAAACATTTGTGAATGTGGACATTACTCAGATTAACATGTCAAATGTTGACTTTTTTTATCCAACCTCTAACTGCTTGTACAAATACAAATTATGTCCTAAGCTCTTCATTTAAATTTCAGGTTTTGTTTTACATGCATTGACAATTGGGCTACCATCACAAACTTATGCCCACTTTGCCAGAGTGAATTTCAATTGATCACTTGTGTGCCTGTGAGTAACTGAAATTATTGTTGTTGCTTCACATTGTTTTTATCCTATTTTTCAATTCATTAATGAGTTCAACAGTGTCTTAGTTACATTTAATGAGTTCAACAGTGTCTTAGTTACATACTTATCATTTAATGGCTTGATCTTTGTTTGCCGATGGTTCTGAGGTTCTTTTTCCCATCTTAAGTCAGTTCTGAAAGCTTTCATGAATTATAGTATAAGATCATCGAGGAGCCCAATTAATGCTTACTAATTTTCATGAAGGTTTTTGATACCATCGGGGGCAGCCAGACTGATGAGGATTTATATACCAGGTATAGTTTTAGTTTTTGGTTCTCTTTCAAATTTATAACAATCCACAACAGCTTTTTCAGCGATGGTCGTTATGCATTGCTATAAAAGAAAGATTCAGTTAGATTCATTTTCTTGTTAATTTGATTAGAGGAGAGAAGAGAGGAACCTTATAATTGTCAAAAGCACTATCTGCAACTCTACACTTAATGTAAGAAGCAACATGCAATAGGGAGTTGATCGTGAATGTGTGGTCTTGAAATTGTTCGAGTTATAAGATTGAACAACATGTAATATGGATCTGCTAGCCAAAAATAAGGAATATGTGAAGAACTTAAATAAAGCCACAAAACGAGAGAACTTGAGAAAGCCTCAGTTTAGCTGGGTCAAAGAAAATCACTTGGCAATGACAAGTGAAAATCTAATTTTTTTTTTTTGCAAATCCTTAAAACCCCTACATATGTATTTCTCCACAAATGTGAGAACTCGAAAGTGTCAGTCGTGCTGGTTCAAAGGAAATCATTTGGCAGCCACCAGTGAAAATTTTGCATCTTTTTTCAAATCCTGAAGACCCCTACCTGTATATTTCTCCACGAATGCGAGAAAATGAGAAAGCCTCAGTCGTGCTGGTTCAAAGGAAAGCAGTTGGCATTCACAAGTGAAAATGTAATACCTTTTTGCAAATCCTCAAGACCTCTACCTATAGATTTCTACTCTACCTCAAGGGATTGTGAGATAAGATCTTCACAATTCCTTCTTCCTTCTCAAAATGGATGCTAAATATTTTCTACAATTTGTATTAGGAACTTTTCTTGTGCTTCATGATTCTACACGGCTGATCTAATGACTATCTGGAATACTCAAAGAGTTCTACTTATAGCTCTTTCTACGCCCGTGTTTGTTCATTGGTACAGGCATATGATGGTGTTTTCCAACCACTTCCATAAGTAGCTGCATAGTTGCAGCTCATAGGATGCTGCGAATGTGTACATTTAGATAACTCCTTCACTATTATCAGAAATCTCAACTTTCTTTTTGAAGCTGATGCTGGATTTTCTAGATTCACATACTTGCTATTTGAAGTGCTCTTGCAGCCTCTGTATCATTATTGCTCTTCTTTAGTTTGAAAACTTTGGACCTTGAGGTTTAAGGTTGTTGAGTATGGAAATGGTGAAAGCTTCTAGCCATAGTCGAGTTTTAAAACTTAACATCCTAAAATTTCTTCAGAGATACATTAACCAAAAAAAACATTTTCTTCTCAGGTACTCAAGTATAGATCTTCAATCTTATATCATGCATATCTCTCGAGAAGATTTAATTTAATAATGTTCATTCTCTAGCAGTGGCTTGATTAGTTGCAAGAATTTACTATCGAGTATAACTTTCTGATCTTTGCAGAGATGATGATTGGTCCATTGAGGGGAAGACTAATACTCTTTCATTCCCATCATACTATATCGACGAGAATGTGAGTTACCATGTTCAATTGACTATGAATAATTGTTGTCCACCCTTGCTACTAGCACTCAAATCTCTGTGGGAGCCATACCCATGGAAACCGATAGAGAATAAATACACTGTGAAATCTCATGACTTTCGTTTGATCAGCTTAGAGTTGTCGAGATGCCTCCTTGGTTCTGTTTTTTCTATCTCTTGGGGGCTGGTTTTATGCAAATCATGTAAAGCTTTGTTACTTTTTCACTTTTTTGAGATGCAACATAGTATGTGATCTCATTTCGTCTTTCCAAGTTCCAGTGCACCAAATTGAAATTCTTATTGGTGAATGTATGGTTTCATGCTTCGAAAAGCTGATATTGTATTTCTTGTGACCTTCACCGCCGTCATATCAGTAAGATACTCTTGTAGATTACTGAAGCAGAATTCTGCAAGAAGTGGTTGTCTCTTCTTGGAATCTTTGAAATCTTACGGATTTTTTTGGGGGTTTCCATGACTCTATTTTGTCATATTGTGTTATAATTTTGGAAGTCAATTTTTTATCTGTAATTACTATGCTTTGTCTTTTCTAGGCAGTTGTCTGCTTGGATGGAGATGGCTGCAAAGTTCGGGCCGGATCAGTTACAAATGAAGGAGATCTGAATCTTGATACGTCAATTGCTTGTGATTCATGTGATATCTGGTATGATAATATATCAATTTTCTTAATCTAATAGTATGTTTTGCTAAAATAATCACCAACTGCTAAGTTGAATAGTTCTATGTTCTGGATTATGTGAAGATGTCAAGATGAATACAGACCTATGTTATTTTGTCGTCCTTCCCTGTCTTGCTTATTGCCTGTTTAGAGCATGTTAAAATTTGTGTATACAAAGCACTGATGGAACAGAATATTGTGATTATTCAGAGGGTTTATATAAAATTGATAGCATTGTTCGTATGGAACTGAGATTCAGTAAGGAGAGTGATCTACGGATGGATGTTATAAGCTTTTGCAACTTGGAATTTGATGAGAGCTTGAGAAGCACTCCATGGGCCTCGTAGGGCACTCTTTATTGTGAACTTCTTGAAATATTTTACATATTCTACAAAAAGTTACTACGTCCATCTCAAAAATTGTCCTACTTTGACTTGTACAGAGATACCTAAACGGATATTCTTGTTGCCTATGTTAGACTAATCCATATTGATTGATGGAATGAACTGTTGTCTCCTCATATGATATTGAATGGGACAATGTTACCATTATAAAAAAAAATGATATTGAATTGGACAATCCTAATCTCTTGGCCTAGTTTTTGAAGCTGAGTTAAATCCAATATCCATTTCTGTTAGCATTGTATCAGAGATAGACCTATCTATATTCTTTGTTCACCCAAAGCGGACAATACCTTGAAGGTTGGGCCTTGGTTGTGACAGGTGGTATCGGAGCTAGTACCTCCCTAGTACGGTGGTGGGGTGAATCTCAGCGAGGATGCTGAGTCCCTAAGAGGGGTTAGTGCAACCACCTAGGGACCGCTGGCGGTTGAACTCGAAAGGGGGTACTTTATGTTGTGAAACTTGCCTTACGCAAATCGCACATTGGAATGAGTAGGGAAAATAAGGGGTCATGTAACCGCGAGTTTAGGATTCAATCGCTGAGACGTCTTTTTGATTAAACCCAAAGTGACAACTGTGGGCCCAAAAGCTTTTAGGTGGCCTAGAGGGGTCAGGGAAAAGCGGATATTACCTTGACAATTGGAGCTGGACCATGACACTCGCCTGCCCAACCAATTATTTCCTTTTCGTTTTTAATATGTTTGCTATCCTGTCTCTTTTGCTCGACCAATTCTGGAGGCACCACTCTCACCTCCACTGATAACGCGACATAATCGTCTCTTTTCTATGATCATTGTGTTAGCACTCTTTAGCTGATCGTTCTTGGAATGCTGCCTCCTCTGCCCAGTATTCTGGAAACTTTAACAAACAAAATGTTTTTTCAAGATTCTTTTCGTTTCTTTTTTCTTAATGGTATCGGAGTTGGGTATTTAGTCCCTCCTTTGAAGATTGGATTTGAGGTCATTATGAAAAATTCTTATTCTACTTTTGTTCTTTTTGGTATAAAATTTTTTGGTAGTCCACTGAATTTTCGGTCACTCTTCCAAAATAGTCTAGTTCTCATTTGTTTCTCTATGGTATCAAAGTTTGGGAATTAAGTCCCTTTGATCACTGTATTTCCGGTCACTGTTTTGATAAGTCGTGATCTCTTTCTCTCTCTGATATTCGAGTTGTGTATTTAGTCCCTCCTCAGAATTGTGTATTTAGTCCCTTCTCTAATCATTGTGTATCCGTCATTGTTCGGAAAAAAGACTTCTTCGCTTCTCTTTCTTTATGGTCACAGTCACAGAGATATGGTACTAGTGCCTCCTTTGAACGTGGAATTTCCCGTCAATGTTTCAAAAAATGTCTCCTCCTCCTTATGGATTCGTGGTTGTGCCATTGCCTAGTTGTTTTTTCTCACAACAGTAATGATGAGATAAAAGCTGATCTGACATACTCAATTTGGCTTCCAGTTTTAATCTGCAAACCCAAGTTACTTCATTATTATTTTTTTGGTTTCCACTCTGTGTCCGGTACCCGCATTGGGGCCTCGATTAATCCAAATTCGCACATAAGGCCCATAAAGAGGAAGTGCTTCATAGATAAATATGGAGTGCAAAATAACTGGTGTACTAGACAAAGCAACTCACCCCATGGGACAGGGCCTTGGAAGCACATCTCAAAATTATGGGGGGAATTGGAGCTCAGTTCTAAATTCAAGCCGGGAAATGGAGCACAATTATTATTCTGGAAGGACAAGTGGTTGGGGCCTGTGGCTCTAAAGGATGAGTTTCCCAACCTATATAGAATAGCAAGCAATCAGGGATTCTATGTAGGTCAGAATTGGAATAACAACACTTGGGATCCTCTTTTCAGAAGAAACTTTCAAGACTTGGAACTGACTGAACTAATGGAGCTATATGCTAAATTAGCAGGGGTTACTGTCAATCCACATGTCAGGGATAGTCTTCAGATTCTGAAGAAGGAGCTTTTACAGCCAAGAAAGGGTATGCTCTCTTATGCTCCAACAAAGAACTGACTGATAATTGGCCATGGAAGCTAATCTGGAAGACCAAGTTACCTCCCAAAGTGATCTGCTTGTGCTGGCTAGCTTTGTATGAAGCTTGTCTTACTCAGGATAACCTGAGTAAGGGAAGCATTCTGACTGTAAATAGATGCTATATGTGCAGAATGAACTTCAAAAGTGTAAGGCATCTGTTTTTGGATTGTCCAGTAGCAGCAGATATTTGGAACATGTTCCTGTCTATTTTCGGGATAGCTTGGGTCATGCCTTGCTCCATCAAAGATGCATATGAAAGTTGGTGCTCTTGGAAAGTTGGAAAACCCATCAAAAAGACTTGGTTAATGGTGCCTGCCTCAATTTTTTGGTGTATTTGGAATGAACTAACCGTAGGTGTTTTGATGGGATCTCAACTTCAAATCATGCTCGTAAAGCTAAATGTTTAGTGGATTTATTTAGCTAGCTTAACCAAGCCCCTGGATCTAGCTGTGAACAACTTTTGGAAGGTGTCTGCTCCTTAGTTATAGATTAATCTTTGTATCTGAGCAGTCACCTTTTACCCTATTGTAATTTTGTTTGCATCTTCTTGATGCCTTTAATGAAAGTTCTATGACTTCATCAAAAAAAGAAGAGGAAGTACTCCCTACAAGATATTTTTTCATTCCCCAGTCCCGAAACCGATACTTCTAGTTAAGGGTGAAGAGATCCTATCCATCCCGCTATAAACCTTGGTGGTTTACTTCAATACATTGAATTTGAGGGAGCATTTTGAAAGTTCAGAGAAAGTTATGTATCTTTTTGGTTAACTTCTGCATATCTAGAATTATAGAATTCACGTAAGAGAATACTAAAGAATATTTACATTATAGAATATTTTGTATTCAGTGGTAGAATATTTACTTACCAAGTTAGAGTAGAGAATACCTATTTACCATCAATGTTGTGAAAGGCTCTCTTGAGGCGTGCTTAAACCGTGAAGCTCAGTGCGAAATAGGTTCATGCTTTGCCTTGCTTAATCAGTGCTTCAGTGCAGGCACAAAGGCACTAGGCTTACATATCATTGCTCACGTGTCTATCTTAAAGAGGACCATACTAAACAATAAACATTTTACCCAATTATAAAATTTTTATCATAAATTTGTTGTCTTTTGTTGTTTTTGGGTTTATAGTTATTATTTTGAACTACATATATATACACACACGCGCACACATACATATATAAAGCTCGTGCTTTATTTACATTTTGCGCTTAAAGCCCCAATTGACTTTATCGCTTTTTTTTCCCCGCGTTTAGTCTTTGATAACCCCACTTGTGGGATTATTCTAGGTTGTTGTTTTTGTTGCTGTTGTTGTTGTCGTTGTCGTCGTTGTCTTTGATAACAGCACTGTACCATATTGTAAGCAACCTAAGACTTCTATATAAGGAGTCGTTCTTTTTTTTTTTTTGAAAAGGTAACATATTTATATATAAATAAAAGACTATACAAAAGCTATGAAGTCACCCATAATTACAAGGAGGCCTAATAAGAAAAGACACTCCTAATCCTTTGTCTTCTCATAATGATTCTAAAATATCAAAAATAGATTCATGATCTTCTAAATATTCTCCTTTACACCAAAAGTAAAAAAGAACTAAACATTTCATTTCATCTTTTGAATGTTACTGTATCTATCTTCAAAGCATCTTTAATTTCTTTCTTCCCAGTTTGTCCACCAGATGCAAGCTGGGACAATCTTCCATCTCTCTTTATTACTGGATAGATTGCCTTCTCTATTCCAACATGTTAAAACTTCAGGTATTCTTCTTGGCATAACCCACAATATTCCCCTCAGATTAAGGAATATCCTCCATAATTGTAAAGTCACTCTACAATGCAAAAAGAGATGATTGATTGTCTCTTCCTCCCTCCACATAAGTAACATCTAGAACATAGCTGGAATCCTCTCTTGATTAAATTATCCTGAGTTAGTACTGCCTCCTTTGCCAACAACCATGTAAAACATGCTACTTTATAAGGAATTTTAGCCTTCCGAATCAATTTCCATGGCCAACAGCCAATCTGATTGTTTGAGATGTTGAACTCCTTATATGCTGCTTTAACCGAGAACTTCCCTTTGCTATTCCCTTGCCATGTGACACTGTCTTCTGCAGTATAGGTCCCTTTGAATTGTTCCAAATTCTTATAGAATTTTGCAAATCTATTAATCTCCCAATCATTTAATAGTCTTCTGAAGGTCAGAGTCCATCCTTGATTTGTCCAAACCTCTGCTACTGTTGCTTCCTGTTGTTGATTCAGTAAATAAATATCAGGAAAGAGCTGTTTTAGTGATCCCCAGAAAGATACCTTCAAAACCAATCAAGAAATCTTCTCTCTTTTCACATTAAAATGTGACGTCATGTGCATTTATATGATAGTCTAGACATATTTTAACATTCTCCAATCATTTTTATAAATATTAAAATAGTTGATGAAGGTGTTGGTTTATGTTTAGTCAACAATGACATGCCAATTGGAAGAGTTGGTGGAAAGAGTTGGTGTGGATGCTAGGAGGAAGCTTCCTCCTTTGATGTCACCCATGACATCAAGAGGAGGTAGTTTGATGTCACCAATGACATCAAGAGGAGGTCTTTACCTCTATAAATAGATGCACTCCTTCATTTGTAGAAACCATCCCAAAAATAATACAACACATTGTAGTGAGTAGAGAGTTAAGAGAGAAATTCTCTTAAGTGTAATTGGGAACTCTCCCCTTCCTTTGTTAATATTAAAAAGGCAACTGTTCTCTGGTGGACGTAGGATTATTTTGATCCGAACCACGTTAAATCTTGTGTT